GAGGGGAGGATGGATGGGGCCATGTATCGCGAGATCTTGGCCAACAAACTCCTTCCCTTAGTAAGAGCATTGAAGATGGGTCGTAGCTGGGTCTTCCAGCATGACAACGACCCGAAACACACAGCCAGGGCAACTAAGGAGTGGTTCCGTAAGAAGCATCTCAAGGTCCTGGAGTGGCCTAGCCAGTCTCCAGACCTGAACCCAATAGAACATCTTTGGAGGGAGCTGAAAGTCCGTATTGCCCAGCGACAGCCCCGAAACCTGAAGGATCTGGAGAAGGTCTGTATGGAGGAGTGGGCCAAAATCCCTGCTGCAGTGTGTGCAAACCTGGTCAAGACCTACAGGAAACGTATGATCTCTGTAATTGCAAACAAAGGTTTCTGTACCAAATATTAAGTTCTGCTTTTCTGATGTATCAAATACTTATGTCATGCAATAAAATGTAAATTAATTACTTAAAAATCATACAATGTGATTTTCTGGATTTTTGTTTTTGATTCCGTCTCTCACAGTTGAAATGTACCTATGATAAAAATTACAGACCTCTACATGCTTTGTAAGTAGGAAAACCTGCAAAATTGGCAGTGTATCAAATACTTGTTCTCCCCACTGTATAGACATACACATACATATACATACACACATACATATCATAAAAAATATATATATTTCCCTTTATTTCTTTCCAACCCCACCACCCCTTCCCTAATTGGAGTAAACTAGTGAATAACAATGCTTAGGCCTCTACTTCCAGCTTATACATACTATATACACTTTATAGACACAGTCAATTTTACAATAATTATATTTTGTTAGTTTTTACTCCTGAACTTCCTCTACTCTCAACCTCTCTGATCATTTTCATGATGTCCATCTGGATTGCTTCTGTATGCCTTGTCTTGCTGAATGTTGAATTTGTCTCCCAGTGTCTGATGGAAGGCAGACTGAACAAGGTTTTCCTCTAGGATTTTGCCTGTGCTTAGCTCTATTCCATTTATTTTTATCCTTAAAAACTCCCTATTCCTTGCCAATGACAAGCATACCCATAAAATGATGCAGCCACCACCATGCTTGAAAATATGAAGAGTGGTACTCAGTTATGTGTTTTGTTGGATCTGCCCCAAACACAACGCTTTTGTATTCAGGACATAAAGTTCAGTTTTTTACCACTTTTTTACCACTTTTACTTTAGTGCATGTTTTGGAATATTTGTATTCTGTACAGGCTTCCTTCTTTTCACTCTGCCATTTAGTTTAGTAGTGTGGAGTAACTACAATGTTGTTGATCCATCCTCAGTTTTCTCCTATCACAGCCATTAAACTCTGTAACTGTTTTAAAGTCACCATTGGCCTCATGGTGAAATCCCCGAGCGGTTTCCTTCCTCTCCGGCAACTGAGTTAGGAAAGTATTCAGACCCCTTGACTACATTACAGACGTATTCTAAATTGGATTAAATAACACATTTTCCTCATCAATCTACACACAAAACCCCATAATTACAAAGTGAAAACAGCTTTTTAGAATTTTCTACAACTTGATTGGAGTGAACCTGTGGTCAATTCAATTGATTGGACATGATATGGAAAGGCACACACCTGTCTACAGTACCAGTCAAAAGTTTGGACACACCTACTCATTCCAGGGTTTTTCTTTATTTTTACTATTTTCTACATTGTAGAATAATAGTGAAGACATCAAAACTATGAAATAACACATATGGAATCATGTAAATTTGTAACCAAAAAAGTGTTAAACAAATCAAATATGACATTCTTTCAAGTAGCCACCCTTTGCCTTGATGACAGCTTTGCACACTCTTGGCATTCTCTCAACCAGCTTCTTGAGGTAGTCACCTGGAATACATTTCAATTAAAAGGTGTGCCTTTTTAAAAGTTAACAGTCTCCTGAGGGGGAATAGGCTTTGTCGTGCCCTCTTCACGACTGTCTTGGTGTGTTTGGACCATGATAGTTTGTTGGTGATGTGGACACCAAGGAACTTGAAGCTCTCAACCTGTTCAACTACAGCCCCGTCGATGAGAATGGGGGCGTGCTCAGTCCTTTTTTTTTTCCTGTAGTCCACAATCATCTTCTTTGTCTTGATCACATTGAGGGAGAGGTTGTTATCCTGGCAGCACACGGCCAGGTCTCTGACCTCCTCCCTATAGGCTGTCTCATCGTTGTCGATGATCAGGCCTACCACTGTTGTGTCGTTGGCAAACTTAATGATGGTGTTGGGGGAACAGGGAGTACAGGAGGGGACTGAGCACGCACCCCTGAGGGGCCCCGTGTTGAGGATCAGTGTGGCAGATGTGTTGTTACCTACCCTTACCACCTGGGGGCGGCCCGTCAGGAATCCAGTTGCAGATGGAGGTGTTTAGTCCTAGGGTCCTTAGCTTAGTGATGAGCTTTGAGGGCACTATGGTGTTGAACGCTGAGCTGTAGTCAATGAATAGCATTCTCACATAGGTGTTCCTCTTGTCCAGGTGGGAAAGGGCAGTGTGGAGTGCAATAGAGATTGCATCATCTGTGGATCTGTTGGGGCAGTATGCAAATTGGAGTTGGTCTAGGGTTTCTGGGATAATGGTGTTGATGTGAGCCATGACCAGCCTTTCAAAGCACTTCATGGCTACAGACGTGAGTGCTACGGGTCGGTAGTCATTTAGGCAGGTTATCTTAGTGTTCTTGGGCACAGGGACTATGGTGGTCTGCATGAAACATGTTGGTATTACAGACTCAGTCAGGGACATGTTGAAAATGTCAGTGAAGACACTTGCCAGTTGGTCAGCGCATGCTCGGAGTACACGTCCTGGTATTCCGTCTGAATGTTGACCTGCTTAAAAGTCTTACTCACATCGGCTACGGAGCGCGTGATCACATAGTCATCCGGAACAGCTGATGCTCTCATGCATGCTTCAGTGTTGCTTGCCTCGAAGCGAGCATAGAAGTGATTTAGCTCGTCTGGTAGGCTTGTGTCACAGGGCAGCTCGCAGTTGTGCTTCCCTTTGTATTCTGTTATAGTTTTCAAGCCTTGCCACATCCGACGAGCGTCAGAGCCGGTGCAGTATGATCCAATCTTAGTCCTGTATTGACTCTTTGCCTGTTTGATGGTTCATCAGAGGGCATAGCGGGATTTTTTATAAGCGTCCGGGTTAGAGTCCTGCTCCTTGAAAGTGGCAGCTCTACCCTTTAGCTCAGTGCGGATGTTGCCTGTAATCCATGGCTTCTGGTTGGGGTATGTACGTACAGTCACTGTGTGGACGATGTCATCAATGCACTTATTGATGAAGCAAGTAACTGATGTGGTGTACTCCTCAATGCTATCGGAAGAATCCCGGAACATATTCCAGTCTTTGCTAGCAAAACGGTCCTGTAGCTTAGCATCTGCGTCATCTGACCACTTTTTTATTAACCGATGGCCAACCATGCTCTCACCAAGCTCTAAGAAACATATTGTCCTCAGAACGTGCTAGCTGGGAACTCCCCACTTGAGTTTTCCATTGAGGCGAAAAACAATCTGCTTTTTAACCAAACACAGGTCTTAAACTGCTATTTCGCTTCTCAATGATCATACAAGTACCGCACAAGCAGGCTACCTAGCTGTTCCACCTCTGGGCAGCCGAATGTTCTTGGCATCCGAGCGTGTATCGGGACTGGTAAGTAGAGTCTGAAAATGGGCGAGTTCGTTTTGCATCGCCCGGTGCTCCAACATGTAAATAGCTCTGCATATAGCCTACCTCCCTTCTTGAAAAAATAACATGAAATCATGCTCATGCTTAATAGCCTACTGAGGCATGGAATGCAATAGTTTGAACATGATGACCATGTCTTTTGAGTACAACATGAAGTTTGTAGCGGAGTGAGTTAAGCTGTGTTAATAAATCTGGAAGAAGGGGGAAGTGGTTAATGGTAACGTTAGCAGAGATGGCAGCAGCTACTTTTAAAAAAGCCTGTACATGCGCAGAAATCAACGTATCTTTAGCTACATCAAATCGAGTTCCAGAAAATCCTAGCTGCCATAGCTAGGTTATTTATCATCCAATATGATTACGTAGTACCTGTCTTGACTGCATCGAACCTGGAGAAGCTGGTTAAGTTAGCTAGCTAGGCTAAGTGAGTCTGCATGCACTTTCTCGTCCTACACAGTTACAAACAACAACAACTCCATTCAGAATATTAAGTAGCAGCCTACCTGTTGGCTCTTGGTCATTGTAGCCTAGCATCTCCTTTAACTTTTAATTCCATCGTTTTAATTCCATCTTCCATTGATTAGATATCTCCTAACTTTTGCCCCACATGCAGTCTCTATTATTGTAGCCTATTGCCGCTTTGATGACTTATGATTGGCCAACAACAATAACAAGCTACATGCGCCACTCTCATGAAAAGCAATGAGCAGCAGCATAAATTATACAATTTCTCTCTCTCTCTCTCTCTCTACTGCAGCAGTCGGATTTGGATCTGAATGGGTCCTTCCGGACAAGTCAGTTAAAATTACACATACCCGAGACCCGTGACAATCATATCAGATCAGACCCAGACCCGTGACATTATTTAAAATTCTGGATGCGGACATTTTACATTTTAGTCATTTAGCAGACGCTCTTATCCAGAGCGACTTACAGTTAGTGAGTGCATATATTTTTTCATACTGGCCCCCCGTGGGAAACGAACCCACAACCCTGGCGTTGCAAGCACCATGCTCTACCAACTGAGCTACACGGGGCCACGGATCGGGTATTCAGGTACAGGTGGATCTTTGAAGACCTCTACTACAGATGTTGAATGTTTTTTGTATCTCTTGTAAGTAGCACCTAGAAAACTCCCTAGCAACCATCTGTTGCATGATTATAAAGTCTTCAGATTCAGATTCTGAAAGTCATCTACCCCCTCCTGTGACGAGGAGTGCAGTCTGGGCCTTTTCATCAGCCACTTCATGAATTAATTAATGGATTAATTAATACATTTTATTGGAATACTAATACGGGTTGTTCGCTCCGCAGGGTGACGAGGAGTCCAGCCAGGGTCTTCCCATCAGCCCCTTCATGGACCGCTCTGCTCCCCAGCTGGCTAAGCTCCAGGAGTCCTTCATCACCCACATCGTAGGACCGCTCTGTAACTCATACGACTCCGCAGCACTTATGCCCGGACGCTGGGTGGAACCGAACCCCGATGAGGAAGAGGAGGAGCACGAGGAAGAGGAGGATACGGCAGAGGATGAGGATGGGTCTACTAGCTCTGAGGCATCGCGTAAGAATGTTACTCACATCTCTTTACTTTACTTGGTTTACAGGGACAATGCACATGAATGCGCCTGGTTTAGCCAGCCAACTTATTTATATGAATCAATGCATGAATAGATACTGTAAGTAAATATTGTTTTCAAAACCCTTCTCTAGAGAAAGAGAAAGCAGCTCCCAAGAAGAGGAGGAAAGTGTTCTGTCAGATCACTCAGCACCTGATAGACAACCACGAGATGTGGAAGAAGGTGATCGCCGAGGAAACCCCCAAGCAAAACAATGTAGCTGAGCCTATCCTATCCATCCATGAGGAGGAGGAGGAGGAGCCAGGGAGCAAGGAGGATGTAGTGGAGGGGGAGGAGCCAGATGAGGAAGTAGATGAGGAGTGGCCATCACCCCCACAGGATGAGTCTGAAACTGCAGTGGAAGAGGTGGGTCCAGAGTGAAAAGAACTATAGGAAGAGGCGTGCTTGAGTGAAAATAAGGCTCATGGGAAAGAAACAGGGCAGCCATTGGCCCGAGCCAGAACCTGAATTGACTTTCTATCCTATCGACAAACAGACTCTGACTGATTTGTTTTCTTGCCAGCACATTCACTAGACACAACACTGTAGAAGTTTGGGAAATGTGTGCCTAATGAAAATGTAACACAGGGTGGGGGAATATTTACTTGTGTTTTACAAATTGTATATATAAAAACAAACAAAAAAGTTTGGGTTCAGAGAACTCAGTCATCCGTCCTCTTGAGGAACTGTCCATTATTGCAATACAAGATCATAAATAGTGCCTTCAGAAAGTATTCATATCCCTTGATTTATTGCACATTTTGTTTTGTTACAGCCTGAATTCAAAATGGATTAAATATATGTTTTTTCTCACCCATCTACACACAATACCCCATAATGACAAAGTGAAAACATGTTTTTAGAATATTTATGAAATGTATTGAAAATAAAATACATTAATATCTAATTTACATAAATATTCACACCCCTGAGTCAATACTTAGTAGAAGCACCCTATGGCAGCTGTGAGTCTTTCTGGGTAAATCTAAGATATTTCCACACATTGATTGTGCAACATTTGCCCATTATCCTTTTCAAAATTCTTCAAGATCTGTCAAATTGGTTATTGATCATTGCGAGACAACTATTTTCAGGTCTTGCCCAACATTTTCAAGTAGATTTAAGTCACAACTGTAACTCGGCCACTCAGGAACATTGACTGTCTTCTTGGTAAGCAACTCCAGCGTAGATTTGGCATTGTGTTTTAGATTATTGTCCTAACTAAAGGTGAATTAATATCCCAGTGTCTGGTGGAAAGCAGACTGAGCCAGGTTTTCCTCTAGGATTTTGCCTGTGCTTAGCTCCATTCTGTTTCTTTTTTATCCAGAAAAACTCCCCAGTCCTTAACGATTACAATAATACACACATAACATGATGCAGCCACTATGCTTGAAAATATGGAGAGTGGTACTCAGTAATGTGTTGTATTGGATTTGCCCCAAACATACAGTGCATTCGGAAAGTATTCAGACCCCTTGACTTTTTCCAAATGTTGTTACGTTACCGCCTTATTCTAAAGTGGATTAAATTCATTTTTTCCCCTAATCAATCTACACACAATACCCCATAATGACAAAGCAAAAACAGTTTCTTAGCTAATTTTGGATGGGGAGATGTTCAATCGGGTTCAAGTCCGGGTTCTGTCTCAAGGACATTCAGAGACTTGGTCCCGAACCCACTCCTGCATTGTCTTGGCTGTGTGCTTAGGGTAATTGTCCTGTTGGAAGGTGAACATTCGCCCCAATCTGAGGTCCTGAGCGCTCTGGAGCAGGTTTTCATCAAGGATCTCTCTGTACTTTGCTCCGTTCATCTTTCATTTACATTTTACATTTACGTCATTTAGCAGACGCTCTTATCCAGAGTGACTTTCCCTCGATCCTGACTAGTCTCCCAGTCCCTGCCACTGAAAAACATCCCCACAGCATGATGCTGCCAACACCATGCTTCACCGTAGGGATGGTGCTAGGTTTCCTCCAGACGTGACACTTGGCATTCAGGCCAAAGACTTCAATCTTGGTTTCATCAGACCAGAGAATCTTGTTTCTCATGGTCAGAGTCCTTTAGGTGACTTTTGGCAAACTCCAAGAGGGCTGTCATGTGCCTTTTACTGAGGAGAGGCTTCCGTCTGGCCACTCTACCATAAAGGCCTGATTGGTGGAGTGCTGCAGAGATGGTTGTCCTTTTGGAAGGTTCTCCCATCTCCACAGAGGAACTCTGGAGCTCTGTCAGAGTGACCATCGGGTTCTTGGTCACCTCCCTGACCAAGGCCCTTCTCCCCCGATTGCTCAGTTTGGCCGGGCTAGCCAGCTCTAGGAAGTCTTGGTGGTTCGAAACTTCTTCCATTTAAGAATGATGGAGGCCACTGTGTTATTGGGGACCTTCAATGCTGCAGAAATTTTTTGGTACCCTTCCCCAGATCTGTACTTCGACACAATCCTGTCTCGAAGCCCTATGGACAATTCCTTCGACCTCATGGCTTGGATTTTGCTCTGACATGCACTGTCAACTGTGGGACCTTATATAGACAGGTGTGTGCCTTTCCAAATCATGTCCAATCAATTGAATTTACCACATGTAGATTCCAATCAAGTTGTAGAAACATCTCAAGGATGATCAATGGAAACAAGGTGCACCTGAGCTCAATTTCGAGTCTCATAGCAAAGTGCCTGAATACTTATATAAATAAGGATTTTTTATATATATATATAACGGTTTTTGTTTTCTCATTATGGGGTATTGTGTGTAGATTGATGAGGACAAAAATATATTTAATCAGTTTAAGAATAAAGCTGTAACGTAACACAATTTTGAAAAAGTCAAGGGGTCTGAATACTTTCCAAATGCACTGTAACACTGTAAAGTGAATTGCCTTGCCACATTTTCTGCTGTGTTGCTTTAGTGCCTTGTTGCAAACAGGATGCATGTTTTGGAATATTTGTATTCTGTACAGGCTACCTTCTTTTCACTCTGTCAATTAGGTTAGTTTTGTGGAGTAACTACAATGTTTTTTATCCATCCTCAGTTTTCTCCTGTCATGGCCAGTAAACTCTGTAACTGTTTTAAAGTCACCGTTGGCCTCATGGTGAAATCCCTGATTGGTTTCCTTCCTCTCCGGCAACTGAGATAGGAAGGACGGCTGTACCTTTATAGTGACTGGGTGTACTGATACACCATCCAAAATTGTAATTAATAACTTCACCATGCTCAAAGGGATATTCAATGTCTGCTTTTTCTTTACCCATCTACCAATAGGTGCCCTTCTTTGCGAGGCATTGGAAAACTTCCCTTGTCTTTGTGGTTGAATCTGTGTTTGAAATTCACTGCTCCTCTGAGGGACCTTACAGATAATTGTATGGATGAGGTAGTCATTCAAAAAACACTATTATTGCACACAGAGTGAGTCCATACAATTTATCATGTGACTTGCTGAAGCACATTTTTTCTCCTGAACTTTAGTTTTGCCATGACAAAGGGGTTGAATACTTATTGACTCAAGACAGTTCAGCTTTTCATTTTTAATTAATTAGTAAAATTTGTGTGTAGGCCAGTAACAAAAAAAAATCTAAATGTAATCTATTTTAAATTCAGGCTGTAGCACAACAAAATGTGGAAAAAGTCAAGGGGTGTGAATACTTTCTGAAGGCACTGTACGTAACTGCTTGGTATAACAGATTACAAAACATACAGACTCTTTTGCTACCATCAAGAGTGAATCGAGACTTGGTCATGAGTACCTCAAACCCATTGTGTAAACAATGGACTGCAGAGACTGCTGCCAATTTATATACAATAAATATTTTCTAAATGCAATTATACTTAAACATCACATTCACCTGTACTCAACTGTTTTGTTTAGGGGAGTCTTTTAAGTATTTCCTTTGGGTCTGATAAGTCTTAGTAATACTGCTTAATTTTTTTACCAAGTGGATTTGAGAAGGGAAATATGAGACTGAGCAGCTTCATGGATTGTGAAGGTAATCAAAACATTTTGACTGAGCAGTTTCATACAAATCTACATTTTCAATCTTAATGTTCTTTAATTGATTCTGCAATGTATCTCACACATATTCTCTGTAGCTCACAACAGCAAGCATATCCTCTAGTCATCTTGTGTTTTACTGAAATACTGGAACCCTGTCAGTATTGTCCACTCTTCCTATAGCCCCCATTTAAGGCCCCTTAAATCAGCCGTGATGCACTTCACTGAACCGAACATGCGTGTCTGACTTCAGTCCAGTGTCTTAGATTTGATCAATTGCTTTGTTCAGAGGAGGTTAGAACACACTAAAGTTCAAGAAATTTGTCAGAAAAAGATATATCCTACTGTATGTGTGTTTCTCTAATACACTAAAGAAAACATGCTTACGCTTGCAGAGAATGGAGTCCTATAAGGCACATGATTAGTTCCTCACCCTAACTCAAAGATAGGATTCCTATACCCGCTAACCACCAGATGAACTGATTACATACTGTAGATAACATAGCCAACTGTAGATCTCCAGGAGACAAAAGTATATTTAAAAAATATATTTTTGACAATGGATTCTCGTTTCAGTAATCCCCCATGGACACGTACACGGGTGCACTCACACAGACACGTGCACATTGAAGATCTTTGAGCAATATGAGGAGTAAACACTATGTTTACTGTGAGACTATTTTCAGGGAAAGAGAAGAATAGTACATAATGGTCCTAGCTTTGACAACCAGGCTGCGTCCCAAATGGCACCCATATTCCCTATATAGTGCACTAGTTTTGGCCAGGGCTCGTAGGGCTCTGGTCAAAACTAGTGCACTATATAGGGAATATGGGTGCCATTTGGGACGCAGCCTGGTTGTCAAAGCTAGGACCATTATGTACTATTCTTATCTATAGGGAATAGGGTGCAATTTGGGGCGTAAACCCCCTCTTGATGTGTTGACAAGCATGTTTTAGAGAGAGCATGGACATGTCATCAGTCTTGGATGAAGCACAACCATCCTCTGAAGAGGTAGCTAGTGATGTATAGAGCATACAACTACCCTTTTTTTCTCTTTCTGCCTGTAGCAATAAGCTTGTGAGATGCGAACATAGAACATTGCGTCCCTTCCTCATTCACCTCAACCCCCTCCTCCGGAAACCCCTCAACCACCCTCCTCAACCCCCCAAAAGCCTTCTATTAACATGCTAACACGCAATGCTCCCACCATAAATAACAGTACACACAGTAGATAAATGACAAGGATCCTTTCTGTGTCCCACTGCAAATACGACCAGAGTGTAAGGATGGTTTTAACTCAGACTGGAGTACATGTGTCATTGGGGATAATTGGTTGACCCATAGATTGGCATGTTGTTAGGGCCATCCCTCATTTCATCCAGAATTTAACATTGTGCTGTT